TCACAAAACCAATCAACACAACAAAAGACTAAAAATTAAGCCCCCCTCAAACACAGTACAAAAAACCTCATTACAACACCACTGTAATACAAAGGTGTCCAAATCCTGCATCTCTTTATAGTATTTAAACTCCACCGAGATCCTAGACCTAATAAATGCCTTAAACAACAGTACACCATCTTGGCCATGTATATTTTTAATCCTGTTTTTTCTTGAAATATATATGGCCATTTTTGCCTGGCCGACCATAAAGTTAATCAACTGCCACTTAAGTCTTTGATTGCGGTTGTATCCTGCCCCATAAATGAAAGCCTTAGGGGTGAAACTTTCCTTAAAACCTAAAAACAATTGTCTTAATACAAAAAGTGATTTGAGCCTAACACATTCGAGAAAACAATGAAAAATTGTTTCTCTTAACCCACAAAAAACACAACCTTCATTAACACTGGAATTAATAATCGAAACAAAAGCATTAACAGCAACAGCCTGCTTCAGGATTCTCCATTGTAGATCTCCTGATTTTTTCATCAATGGTGGTTTGTATAAAACCCTCCAAAATGGTTTAACTTAATTTCCAATGTCAAATTTCTCCCTCCAGACATTATCACTTTTCTCACACAGTATGGACTTGTATAATATTTTAACAAAACATTTGTAAATCACTTTTCCACTTAATTCTTCTAATAATAAGTCCTGAAGCCCATTCAAGTTTAACAAAATACCAGACATCTCTTTTAAATCTGGTGTAATCCAGTGCTCGGGAAAAGGGTCTCTCATATCAGGAAGCAAATTTCCTTCCTCAAAATGTTTCAGAATGGACAATTCCTCTGCTGTCAGTTTCTTTCTCCATAACTCCATGATTGTTGAGGTTTGTTGCATGGATTTTTTCCCAATAAAGATGCCACAGCCACAATGTCTTTCAATTAGGATCCGGCCACTTTAATCATGTGACCAAGCTTTACAGTCTGAGTGTCACACAATCTCTGAGACAGATTCGGCACTTGATCCATAATGTCCAAACGAGCCCCTTTAACTAGAGGCTCCTCCAACAACCAGAACAGAGAAGTAGCATTTTCTGGTCTTTTAATAATAAAAGATCCCCACACTTTAAACAATCCATGGTAGAATGAAGATAGTCCACTCAAGTGTAGCTTTTTGGTATCTGTGAGGAACAAAGCAGTATCTAATCCAAGTCCATCCACTCTGTAAAGAATGCTTTTCACAACTTCTCTCCATATCACATCCACAGAGCCTGTTAAAAACTTCTGAATGAACTGTAACCGGAATGTTGCATATCTGCTTGATAGAGACACCAAACCTTGTCCTCCCTCCTCCACTGGCAAAAAAAGCACACTTTGAGGGACCCAGTGCAGCCTGTCCCAGAAGAAGTCCACTAATATTGTTTGTAAACGTGACAATAGTCCTGTGGGAGGTTCCACACAAGAGAGCTTATGCCACATAGTTGAGGCTATTAAGTTATTCAGTATTAGTACTCTCCCTCTAAAAGATAACTGAGAGTGAATCCATCTCCATTTCTTTAGTCTGCCCTCCATTTTTTCTATAATCCCATCCCAGTTTTTCTGCTGCACAGATTCATCTCCAAGATGCACACCCAAATACTTAAGACCCCCCCTTTTCCAATTCAACCCACCAGGTAAAATTGGTAAACCATTCTTCCATTTACCTTTAATCAGTGCATCACTTTTCTCCCAATTCACTCTTGCAGCTGAAATTACACCAAATTCATTAACAGTTGATGCCAAATTAATAACATCTTTTTTTCCATTGACTAAAATCATATCATCGTCCGCATAGGCAGATATTTGATGTTGAACACTGTGATTCCTTAACTTAAAATTCTCTCCACACATCACACAAACTGTGGGTTTCAATCAATTCACGTATTACACGACTTGAAGCAGTATGAGGTTCCAAATGGTTCCTATCAAGAGCATCATTTTCTGTGCAGTTAAAAACAGAAAACCCTAACCCTAACCCTAACTATGTTCAGTCTCATCACTCTTGCCAGCTTGTTTATCCATCACCATGTCATCACTTATTTTTCTTAGGGATTTCCTAACACGTTTTCTCTTACTGGAAGGAGCTTTAAACAAAGCCTCATCCTTTTCAAACTCAGTATTTTTATTCTCCTCAGCCAAAATACATTCAGCTACAGCTATAACAGTATCAGCAGTCACATTAGTTTCACTTTCATCCTCATTTTCTATAACTCCTGAAACAACCTCCATATCCTCAACCTCAACCCTTCAAACATCAACACTCTTACTGTTTTCACCATCCCCACTCTGCTTTCGCACATTCATTGTAACATTAACAAAGCTAGTCTGCTCCACATTGCTACTACCAGCATTTTCATTTGTCGACACACCAGCCTCTGTACCCTCAACCCTCCCAGGGCACGCTCGCTTGGTGTGACCTTCCTTACCGCACTCAAAGCACTTCATTGTATCAGAAGATGCAAAAATTACATAATCAAATATGTCAATTCGAAATTTGAACGCCATATTCATTTCATCCTCGCCTTTGTTTAAAACCATATACACTTGCCGTCTAAAACAAACAACATGTTTGAGCAATGGAGACTTACAACCGAGTGGTATTTTTTTCATTTGCGACATGATCTTGCCATGCCGAGACAACTCTGCTACTAGCAACTCGTCCTTAATAAAAGGCGGGACATTGGAGAGGATTATTCTTTTCGCTGGTTGAATTAGCGGTACAACAGAAACCAAAGTATCTTGAATCACAACTCCACTTTGCACGACACTATTCACTTTCTCTATAGCGTCCAAGAAAATAACTACAGCGCTATTCATTCGGGAGGCAGACACAATACTATCATAACCGACAGCCTTCCCAACATCTTCAACCGAACAATTAAAAACAGGCACAACTTTAATGCCATGCCTGCGTGAAATTTGGTCAAAGCTTTGACCGGGCGCCGCCGACGCCGCCATAGTCACCCGGCAAACGCCGGCCTACGGCGTCCTCTCACTTCATACTTCACACAATACTTATTCCTCTACAAAATTATACCAAAACTTTAAGACAATCAACACTAAACCACTTGTGAAAAAACAGTGTGGGAAAAGCAGGAATAAAGAGAGAAAAAAGTTCACTCTCACCACAGCAGCGTTCTCACTCACACGCTCCTCGCAACACTCACCCCGCACATGCGCACGAAACGAGAGAGAGAGAGAGAGAGAGAGAGAGAGAGACAGACAGAGAGAGACAGAGACACAGAGAAAGAGAGAGAGAGAGAGACAGACAGAGAGAGAGAGACAGAGACAGAGACACAGAGAAAGAGAGAGAGAGAGGTCAGATTCACTCACAGAACAGCAGAATCACGGGTCTGAAACTGCTCTGCGGTTCTAGATACACATCAGTGTGAAGCCTCACATAATCACAATCACACCAGTAACTTACCGTACAGACTCCAGTCCGTCACAGGCGACATGGCTGCTGCACATTTAAACACGTTCTCCGTGGATTTAATCAGCAGGAGTGCGACATATCCTCCATAACCCTGCAGAACGACACAAACACACAGGTTTATATACCTGACGGTTTTCATCAGTGTTTCTTCCGTTACAGCAGCCGAGTGTGAGATTGAGTCTTACCCGGCCAAACACACCAATCCGGGTTCGATCGATGTACGGCAATTTCAGCAGGTACCTGGAAGAAAAGCATGACTCCGTTAGCATGTTTCACAACCGTGTGTGTAGATCACCCAAACAGAGCATGAAAAAAAAAGGCTTACTCAACGGCGGCCAGCTGATCCTGCAGCTCCACGGATCCCAGACGCCTGTGCACTTCCTGTAACACCTTCTGACCCTGGAAGCCACTTCCCCTGCCGTCCAGACGAGCTACGATGACATTATCTGAACTGACCAGCACTGAGTCCCAGTCCAGTGAGTAACGGTCATTCACCTGCTGACCACCGGGGGCAGCGTCACTGATAAACACAGAGAAAACCCTGATAAACACTGAGTCCTGCTCCAGGACTGCTCTTTCACCTGCTGACCAGCATCACTGACACACAGACGAAACACATCAGCGTATCGTCACTTCTTTCTTCTAGGCTTCATGATCTACCTCTGATATAAAAGAATGTGCCTCTCCTGGATCTGGTCAAGTGTGTTTACAGCACCTTTCAAATTCAGCCTGAGAAACGTGTGTGACACCATTTCTACTCACAAAGAGTCGTTCTGTGGACATTTCACTTTACAAATCCTCCTTATCTGCACATCACAGGGTTTTAAATCAAAACTACTCAAACACCCCCATGAACTAATGCAAATGACAGATCTAACAGTACCAGACGAACAAAACCTCTATCCACTGTAAGTAAAGCATAGAGGTATTTGTGAAAGTAGTCCACAAACATTTCCAAAAAACATGACATCATGGCAGAATTCAAAGATACTTCTTTTTGCTTGCAACTGACATTTTGGTTTAGGGCAAACAACCAATCAAAATCTTTGCATCACTGCTGTATAGCAGCATCTGTTATTTATTCTAAAAGACCCAAACAATCAGAGTCTCAGTGTACCGTTCAGCTGATTCAGTGGAGGAAATCAAAGACAGAAATACTGCAGGTGCTCCTGGAAATGTCTATGAAACGTTCAGTGGCTTTATTTCAAGCTTATAAATGGCGTGACATGCAGAGAATGAGCAAAGGTCAGGACGCAGTGAAGGAGATTCTGACTTCAGTGATCCGGATGAAGGACAATGTCTGTTTGATACCGAGTCCTTCACTGACTTTTATGTTCATGCAAAACAGAGCAATTTTGTAATGCTCCAGTCATATGGTGTATTTCTCTCAGGCCTCCAAACAAAATATAACAAACCTGAAAACCAGCAACATATTAATGTGAACATCAGACTGCAAATGAACACTTTGAACTGTTGTCTTTCTAACTACAAACTCCCTCCATCTTTAACAGACCTGAACACAAACACACACACACACACTTACTCACTCACACTCACACTCACACTCCAGGACATTTACAACACCCGTCTCACCCGCAAAGCCCTCTGCATTGCAGGTGATCCCACCCACCCGACACACAGCTTCTTTAGTCTGCTGCCATCAGGGAGGAGACTGCGGAGTCTCCAGGCCAGGACCAGCAGACTGAAGGACAGCTTCATCCATCAGGCTGTCAGGAAGCTGAACTCCCTCCCGACCTTGCCCCCCCTCCCCTCTTTTTGCCCCACGCACCACTGAACTCTGACCCTCTGACGGACTCTCCCACTCCCCCCTCCCAAATACACAAATCTCCCACACACACACAAGCACACACACACACTCACACACTCACACACTCACACACACACACACACACACACTTACTCACACACAGACACACACACACACAGATCTTACATCATCAGCAGAAGGGCATAAGTGCGGGACTCAGAGAAATCGGGTGGATAGGCGATCTTCAGCGGCAATTCTGAAAAAACACATGGAGAGCAGACCAAAGATCTATCAAATATCTTCAAGGGCATTCAAGTCTGTTTCAGTGCAGGAGATCCAGCACTAACTAAGCGTGTTTATTGGGTGAACGGAGCAGTACATTACCAAAGTGGTCGGTCTGGATGCTTCTGTACTCCAGCAGCTGGATGCGTTTGTATCTGAGAGCAGCTCTCAGCACAGAGTTATTCTCCAGGATATAATAATCTGACGAGAGATCAACACATCAAGACATGATTTGAGTTTTTAACGCAGAACACGGCGGACAGACGTACAGAAGAATTAATGAAAATAATGACTCACTGGCCGTGTTCAGAGTGTGTATGATCTCTGTCGGCGCTCCTGGACCTGCAGGAAAACCAAACACTTCAACCACAACCTGTGCTAGTTTGACAAGGGGTGAAAGGTCACTTGTCAGGTCTGTGAGAGTACATAATAAACGGTCTTCATACCTTTGCAGTGCAGCAGGACGTGTTGATTAGTGGGGCTGAAATCAGCACTGAAGAACGTGCAGTGAGCTTTATTCAGCTCACAGGTCAGACACCGGCGTGGAAACAGGCCCACTGTGGACACACTGCACACAGAACGGACCAATCAGAGGCCCACTTTCCTGCTGATCTCACCTTACTATTACAGTTTTTCTCGATTGCTAACACACTATAAATGATTCATTTGGCCCAATTTTCCAAACCATTTATACAGTTCTCGAAACAAAGACATGTTTCTCAAAACTTTTAACACATTTCACCTGTTTGCACACACGTTCCAATTTGCTCAGTGCTTTCTGCAAAACTCTACACAAAAACGCCATAATTTTGCACAGGTTTAACCATGTTCTCATTCAGAAAATACAAACACACAATGTAATTAACTCAAGCATCAACAAATGAACTCAAACAGCACACATTTATCCATGTGTGAACATTCAGTAGAAAAACTGATGACACACGTCAGAATCTTAGGATGATATGAACAAGAGCACAGCTGATTATGTGTTCTGGAAAATGAATCCTGGGAGTGGGAGACAAAGAGTTCTCGATTGCTAACACACTATAACTGATTCATTTGGCCCAATTTTCCAAACCATTCATACAGTTCTCGAAACAAAGACACGTTTCTCAAAACTTTTAACACATTTCACCTGTTTGCACACACGTTCCAATTTGCTCAGTGCTTTCTGCAAAACTCTACACAAAAACGCCATAATTTTGCACAGGTTTAACCATGTTCTCATTCAGAAAATACAAACACACAATGTAATTAACTCAAGCATCAACAAATGAACTCAAACAGCACACATTTATCCATGTGTGAACATTCAGTAGAAAAACTGATGACACACGTCAGAATCTTAGGATGATATGAACAAGAGCACAGCTGATTATGTGTTTTGGAAAATGAATCCTGGCAGTGAGAGACAATGAGGAATAGGAGGGGAAAATAAAAACGAAGGGGATGAGGTCAAAGGTCATTTGTTCCTGAAGAAATACAAAGCACTATAGTTGAGCATGATCTTCTGCATGGACTGACCGTGAGGGAAGTTGGTCTACAGCTCATCTACAGGGTTTCAATACTACTTACACAATACACATACAATATAATTACAGTACATAGCAGCATTACTTCAGATGAGAGAACTTTCATTATTATATGTACAGTAAATACTGTAGTACATGTTGTACACCCTCAAACTCATTACTGTTGAATT